GGGGGGGGGGGGGGGGTACGGATCCAAGGTACATCGCTGTAACACGTTTACGACGCAGACGCTCAAGCTCAATTATATTTTCTTGTTTCTATGCATATTAATGGTTTACTTTAGAGTGTTTTTGGTAGTTCATACCGTAATTTAGATGGTAATTAGGTAGAAAAGCATCGGTGGTCCTTCCTGATATTGTTGCCCCTCAGTCCTATTGCTGACATGGTTTCCCACAATTAGTAGAGCCAGTGGACAGGTGTTCCCAGTGCTACAGTTTTTCAAGGAGTTCAGCTAGCAGCAGGGCCAGCTGTAGAGTAGTCGAATGTAGTGTGTGAAGCGATTCTCCTGATGTTTAACCAGAATGAAATTCATCGTCACTCAAGTAAGGAAAATAGTAATAGTAAATATTCTGGACACTTCGGCAGCAATATCTATTTATAGACTCTCTGTTGTTGTCAGGACTAGTTTAATTGTGCGGTGGGATCGTTAAAGTTTGAAAATGTTCTACTCAAGCGGGAACCGAGTAAAATTGATAACACTTGCCACCAATGCTGCATGAATGATACCACGAGCACGTGCAAATGAAAGGGTTCGCGTTGTGTTTCATCTTCCTATAGAAAGGTGACACCCTTTTCGTTGCTGTATCACCTGTATCACCTGTCGTCCGCTGATCATCAATCTGGTCGAGCGTCGTCTGCATTCGTCCCTCTCGCGAGCCAGTTCTGTCCAATGGATCGCCTCCGCGTGAGGGACCCGAGGCATAGCATTCCTTTGGTTCCGAAATTTTGTGAAGAAGTCTGGTCATCGTGCTGGTGGTTGTTCTAGTGATCGTTTGACGTCTTGATGGATTCGGTCGGAAACCGCCTTTGCCTAGTGGTCACCTTAAGATCTCATGACTATCTTAAATCATCTCGTTTCTGTAAAATGATTAATCGCGACAGATCGCTCATATACCACGACTCTAAACGGTTCCTTACATAGTCCGACGAACAAAATAACCGCATAAGCATGTTGGTAAGATGTTCGTTCTTCCCAATTGTTCATTCTACGAATTCAGCTGATTTGGACCCTTCACTCGCTGTTTAAAAATACACTTTTTTCATTTTACTATCTACCGGTTTTTGCAGAGCTTATAAGAGTTTCCGTTTCGTTCAATGTCATTTTGTTCGTTCAGAGTATGACGTTGGAAGAAACCAGAGCATACCTCAATATACCCCCAGGCAATCACAATGACGATGAACAAGTTCGGAAGAAATACCCATGGCTTCATCTCTAGCCAGTTTCACTACCGAGGCATGAAGGGCAAGGTTTGCTACCTGCTTCTGTGAAAGATTCCCTCGTTACATCATTGGCTGCTTTCATAGTCCACGATTTGGCCAGCGACCGATCGCGCAGTCGCTCGCTCGATAGGTTCGCTATCGGTCGCGCGACTGGTCATGCGATCGGTCGCTGGCCAAATCGTGGACTATGAAAGCAGCCATTGTTCTCTTCTGCCACTCCCACTATTGCATTTTGAGCAACCCATATCTTCTCGGAAACGTTATACTTATATACTATATATTAGTGATATAATCCTGTGCAAGAAATGACTGGTAAAATCGAATCTGGCCACGATGGTACCTACAATTGCTGCTCCGAATTGATGTGTGCTTGCAAGAACGGCATATCATTTGTGTTTTATCAGGAAACATCAATTACAAGCAGCTCTTGAAGCGGTCCCGTCACGAAACTTAAGCCTTCAATAGTCAATGTGGCTAAGTTTGTCTGTGAACTAGTTAATCTTTATGTACGTGTTCCTACTTCTATATGTGCTTTACATCCTCGTTTGACTTTATCGTAATTGTTTTAGTTTCTCGTATATTTTACGTGTTACTATTCCGTATTTACATTTATTTATTCTGATACTCGTATCATTAGCCCCTTTCACTGATTTTACAACATTTTCGAAGGTCACCTCATTCTGCTGGCCTAGCTCTTTCGTTCGGCTTTCTTTGTCATTTTCGATATGCCCAGATCATGGCGTGATTTATCATTGGCTCAGTTGTGCTTTAGAACTCTATATTAAATGGTGTGTCTTGATAAAAGTAGGTGCTGTTTTCAACCTCACTGGAAAAGATAGAATTTTTGGTCTCAATCAAACCCGTTTCTGGGATGCGCCCTCGCAGTCGCCATCCATTCAGGATCATAGAGGCGTTTTGGGTGTGTATGTGGCTAAGGCAATGACTTTCGGTAGCCAGCCAATGTAGAAGACAGTACTTTCATCCTCCCAGGAGAGCCTGGTACCAATCAACTGAGCCTGGAGGGATGGAAGACTTGGTTTGCAGGGGGCGAATACGAGCTGGGATCCAGTCTCTGGACAATGCGTGAGTGAGAGATAGAGGTCACATATTTAATATCTATATCTAATATTAAAGGTTTTTTTGGCTGGCTTGGCTTTTGTGCGATAAATAAAAGAAGTCACTGGGATGTTGGTAGAGCTCCTTTGTGTTCTCAGAAAAGCTCTCTAGACAAACAGCTCATCTCGTTGGTAATCTTTCACGAATACATGGGTAATTGGGTCGTTTGAAAGCAAAGTGTGCAAGATGGTCTATTTCCAATCTTTTGAGAATTTTGCAGCATAAACCTTTCTTTGGGTCATCTAGAACTGAAATACGACTCAATATTCATTAGAAAGATCGTTTTGCGCTTAATACTAATATGATACAATATAAAATCATCGAAATTACTAATTTCACTTGGTAGTACATTTCGTTCTCTTCCAGTTTGCCGTAGTGAAGTTGCTGAAGGTCAAAAGTTAAGGAGCATAAAATTTTCCTTTTTTTGAAACGGTGGTGTGTAATAGATTGAAAAAAGGGTAGCAAGAAACCGTAAAGGTTCAAAAGGTCATTCGAAGTAAGTAAGTATGGGTAATTGTTTATTTCGTATTCTGAAATACAGCGTGAGGCTCACCCTTGCCAGTTGCCAGGGCATCGTTGCAGCCAATGACAGGAGTATAAATGCTACAAATAAAAGTTCGTGTGAAACCGAGCCTTCACTCTGTACTTGGACAGAAGTTGCCATAATGCAACTCGAGGAGCCATAAATACCTCCATTATGTGAAAAGGTGATGGAATGTGGTGTACCTGGTCTGATGACTTCGGTTGTCCGGGTAACAATACGAGAGCGCTATGCATTGGCGTCCGTTGCTATGATGGCGGCTTGATGAAGTCACCGCCACCACTTCATCGTCTCGCCAGCGATCCTATCAGTGACGAATCATCGCAGGATGAGCATAGCCAAATACGTGCACTAGAAGAGGACCAGGTACGGTAAATTACTTGGCTTACAAGTTTACTCAAATTTAACCACTAAGGAATCGTAGCGATAGGGATATTTGGCTTTGAAACATCTCAAATGCTTTTGCTCCTTCGAAAAGTATTTATTCGTTACCTCATTGTATTGACAAGTTTTTTCCTGACAAATTTTTGTTAAAATAGCCAAAGCAAACATTTTAAAGTGCATTATTTCAATGAACGGAGTGCTAAAGCTGAGGTTTCTTATCACATTTAGCTGCGGTCACAATGGAATTTGCTAAAAAACGTTTTATTAGCAAAAAACTGGTGTGAAAAGGCACGAAATCTTTACGGCCCCGAAATCCCAAGCAGTGGTAGGAAGCTAGTTTTGCTGCAAGGTTGAGCTTTTCTTTGATCAATTGCGTAAGATTTGATGGGGCATCGATGGACTGGATCGCATTCCTAGGGGGTTAATCCATCATTTCATTTGTCAATCACATCAAATAAGAAGGTTCTTTGAAGGGGTTTAAGATGATTGTCAATTTTGGGGGTTCTACTCTCGGCCCATACACCGATCGTGCTATCAGTTTCTGAATAAAAAATTGTGTAAAGAATTGTATTGTAAAATTTTAATTGTAAAATATAATTGTAAAGTTGAATTGTCAAACAGGGAAAAAAGGAACAGAGCGAAGGGAAGATGATAAATATTAATAAAGTCCCTGGCATTAGGTAGGCCCGTTTTGGGATGCGCCAAGCATTTGGTTTCCACTGAGAATCGCAGGGACGTCTTGAATGCGTAAGTGACCCGTAAAATGACATGCGGGGACCAGCAGATGCTCAGTCAGCGCTTGTATCCTCCCAGACGAGTTTGGTACCAATGAACCGACGCCGGAGGGATGAGAGCTTTATTGGCCTGGGCAGATATCAACACAGAACTTACCAGGGAGGGGTAGTCTACTTACCGTGGGACTTTGAATGGAGACCCAGATAAATCGATAGAGTTTTGAATGCTATTTACGAAAATGGAAATTAAAACTGCTAAATGGTTTTCCTTAAAAAGTTATGAGGGCTGGAAATTTGCTTGACAGTAGTATTATTTGGATATGCGAACTCGTCGCC